ACACCAGTTTATATTAACGATGGATGAGTTGATTCATGTTTTCGTCAATGATTTAGTAAATGACGTGATTGCTGCTGCTGTGCTAAGGCGCCGCCGTTGTGAGAGCAAGAGGGCCCATTTGAAATGAGGGACGCCGACTTCATAAAAAAATTACGTTTAAACAAAAATTTGGTTATAAATCTATAAAGTTATGAATAACATTGGTATCGATTCTGACACGATTCTCTAAACTTAAAACTAAATTTAACATCAGTCTCTCCTTTTCATTCTATATGGAGAATGACAAGGATACACTGTTGTCAAATTTACGTTTAGGTTTAGAGAATCATGCCAGAATCGACACCATTTTCTTATTGACGATACGGAGTTTATGGCGGGATTTCTGCGAGTACGGTTGGCGTCTTATTTTAATTATTCTAAAATTCGTTCATAGTGGCTATTGTGAAATAAAATTGGTGTGATTTGGTGTTACAACCGTCTGCGCAACTGAAGAATTAGTGGAATCTTTAATATATACGCTATTCCGGTCAAGCGGACGCGAGAATTTTATTGTAGTGTTGACTACCTCACAGAAGCTTAGAGAAAAAGCCAATTCCATAAATTTCGTGCCAAACACTCCAAGAAACATTAGAATGCGTCACACCGACATTCTAATGTAAAAAAAGAAGATTAATATAACTAAAGACTAGGCTGTATGGGCATTGTTCCCTTTGCCTTCCCTAAAAAGGGAGAATCTTAAATAATATTGACGTTTCATTATACATAACGTTGAAATTATACACGCATACAATTTAGGTAAAGTTGAGATTTCTTATACTCAAAAAATGTATACTCGTATTTAATATGAATGGAATTCATAAAATATCATTTTGTTGCTTGTAAAATTCTGCTCTAATTTATTATTATTTTATATAGACTATGATGTTAACTTGGCCCCTGGGGCCCAATTCTCGCGGCGTAGATATTATATCGTCTTCGAGATAATATCGAAAGTAGGGATATCTATTGAAAATATCTACTGATGGTAAAAAATGCTATTCTCGTGAATTTTCGATATTCCAATGATATTATATCTATCGTAGATATTCTTTCACTGCCGAATGCGTTCCGTTTTTCTCGATTAAGTTAACATCATAGTCTATATAAAATAATAATAAATTAGAGCAGAATTTTACAAGCAAAAAAATGATATTTTATGAATTCCATTCATATTAAATATGAGTATACATTTTTTGAGTATAAGAAATCTCAACTTTACCTAAATTGTATGCGTATATAATTTCTACGTTAAGTATAATGAAACGTCAATATTATTTAAGATTCTCCCTTTTCAGGGAAGGCAAAGGGAACAATTCCCATAAAGCCTAGTCTTTAGTTATATTAATCTTCTTTTTTTTACATTCGAATGTCGGTGTGACGCATTCTAATGTTTCTTGGAGTGTTTGACACGAAATTTATGGAGTTGGCTTTTTCTCTAAGCTTCTGTGAGGTAGTCAACACTACAATAAACTTCTCGCGTCCACTTGACCGGAATAGCGTATATTTTAAAGATTCCACTAATTCTTCAGTTGCGCAGACGGTTGTAACACTAAATCACACCAATTTTATTTCACAATATCCACTATGAACGAATTTTAGAATAATTAAAATAAGATGCCAACCGCACTCGCAGAAATCCCGCCAAAACTCCGTATCGTCAATAAGAAAATGGTGTCGATTCTGGCATGATTCTCTAAACCTAAACGTAAATTTGACAACTTCATTCTCCATACAGAATGAAAAGGAGAGACTGATGTTAAATTTAGTTTTAAGTTTAGAGAATCGTGTCAGAATCGATACCAATGTCATTCATAACTTTAAAGATTTCTAACCAAATTTTTGTTTAAACGTAATTTTTTTAAGTCGGCGTCCCTCATTTCAAATGGGTCCTCTTGCTCTCACAACGGCGGCGCCTTAGCACAGCAGCAGCAATCACGTCATTTATTAAAGCATTGACGAAAACATGAATCAACTCATCCATCGTTAATATAAACTGGTGTCGATTCTCTAAATCTAAACATAAACTTGACAACAGTGTTTCCTTGTCATTCTCTATACAGAATGAAAAAGAGAGACTGATGTTAAATTTAGTTTTAAGTTTAGAGAATCACGCCAGAATCGACACCATTGTTTACCTACTTCTTTATTTACTAATTATTTATGAAGGCAGTTAACAACATCTTGAGGTAACAATAATTGCCAAAGACACACGACAACACAATAAATAATAGGTAAAAAAAGTGGAAATAACAAGATTGACATGCCAAGATCCATAGATATTTATATATCGAAGGCTCTTTACCAGTCGATGTATGTCTACTGATCATCCGTAGATAAATATCTATTGCGACATGGTGAGAATAGGGCAAAAAAGTTTTCCTTCGATAAAAGCCAGATCATTCGATATATATCGAAAGTGATATAATATCTATGCCGCGAGAATTGGGCCCCTGTATAGAGTCTGTGCGGGGAGAGAATGGGATTTAGATTGGAGGGCGCTGTAGTGCTTTCTGTCGTATTTGTAAGGTTTTTCCCCTTTTAGACATGATTAAGTACAAAAAAACCGCAAGAAATCACAACAACAAACAAATACGTATCAATACAAAACTTTGACGTTTTACAGATTGCTGGGTTTAATTGCCAAATAAAAATTTAAATGTTAGTTCCGTTTTTGCCACGCCCATTCTCTTTCCGCACAGACTCTACTACCTTTATTCTCTATCAAATAATCAATACAGTCATGTAACTGCCGATGATCACAAGTCGATCGACCGAACTTATGTAAACGAGTAAAATTCTAACTCGCAACGTGTAGTTAACCCGCAGCCTGTCCGAGCCATCCACCGAGCCGTCTCCGCAATTAGCCGTAGGATGTAACGACCGCTGACGATAAGATCTGCATATCTCGTGACAAGAAAGTCTAGAGAAGCATCGGTGGTAATAAGTAATGATAGATGCAGCTTTGGCTCGGCTAACTTTGTTTCTCACAATGAATAGCAAGTTAGTAATGTTTTGTTTATATTAAGGATTGAGTTTTGGTTCTATATTGTTTTAAACTTTCATGGTCACTTACATTATATATAGCTATTAACGGGATTGTTACCATGTACCTTGTTTTTTATGAGTCTCCGATATACTCATCATCACGGAGTAACTGTTAGTCCATGATCATGGCGCTTGCAACAGTGCCGAAATATCGGAGACTCATAAAAAACAAGGTACATGGTAACAATTCCGTTAATAGCTATAGAGTTCTAGCTAGTTGATTAGATTTTTTGCTTGTAAAGGTGACGCAACACCAACTTTATTCAAATATATAAATAATTATCGGTGTCATCATGGTTTATAATTAATAAAAAAAATCAAACCCATCCCACCCATCCACTAAGTCCCTGCCATCCAAAAAGGAACTTAGTTCCAATGAACTTTACAAAAATAATTACTAATGCAATAAATAGCTAGCCATTTTAGTAGGCACATTAGTTTTCATGACGTTGGCATCTTCGATAAGCTAGGTTGGATCTTCTGCAGAATAATAATAATTTGGGGGAGGAAATTATTATTATTAAAAAAAAAAAAACAACCATAATCACCAGTGCTCCTACTAGAAAAAGTAACTTCCGCTTATGAATTCATATACATCGCTCTGTTATATCCTTATACAGTTTAGAATCTATTAAATGTTCCCATTATAATGTTAGATAGCCAATGATTAATGGTAGCAAACATTTTATAATGGATTGTAGGACAGCTAGAACCGAAATCGCTCACCACAGGAACAAAACATTTCATTCACTTATACATTTTATTTAAATACAATGTTATCTGCATTTCATAACAATACAGGTACACTTTTGGTGGGTTCAAATGTCAGTGAAAGCTTGACAAACGTATGCACAGTCAGCGCAGGTTCTAATAAATATTTTAAGCTTTAGTCGATGACAATGGCGGCGAGACGAAGCGGCAGCACGGGGCGTGTGGATGGCGGGAAACGTGCAAATCCGTATTGTTTACGTGACTTCCGGGGCTCAGACCATTTTGTTGGTCTGAGTTCCGGGGACGCCATTTTGTTTATGAAACTTTGAATACCATATTATTAGAAGCACTTTTATATTCAATACTCAATACACCATCTACACTAATTATCTAGAAAATAATATCTTTTAATCTTATAGTTGACTCATGTTAATTAATAGTGTACGATATGAAGTGTCATTTTTTTTCGAGACACTAAATTATGCGTTTTTGTGGGATAATATCTTATATTTGTTGTATCATAACCACATAAATCCAACTTTGGATGCTCTACATTGTTTTTCTGTTAAGGACAGGGCTGGCCTGAGCAAATTTTGTGTTTCCTGTGCTTCTTCAGGTCGCGAACACAAGAGCGAGCAAAGCATTCCATTAACGGATAGTGTGACAAAGAAAGGAGTCGCCAAATCTTTCTTCGCGTAGACATTGTGGCTATAGTAAATCGGTGACAATATAGGCCAGCTCGCGAGTTCTTCTGAAGGCAAAGGGAAGTTAGGATAAGATAGAATATATTCTTAGAATACTCGCTGTGGTATAGACGAAAGATAGCGATTTAAGACGCCACATCACGACGTAATTAAAAAGGCTCGAGCGAAGTGTTTAGTCACCTCCTCAACGCCAGTAATACGGGTTGCAGGCCGCTGTAACCTATCCAAAGCATCGAGTAAGTATTTGGGGAAGCCCAAATGCACTTGCGTCTTGTACAACAATCACAGTTAATCAAGGCTGCAAAAACACCGCACAATGTTTAGGACTCCCAGTTTTTTTTAACACTCATTTATTTCTTCCATTTTAAAGTTGATGATGGGTTATGTTACATTGTGATGTAAAGGACGAATCCTTTACATCACAATGTAACATATAGTTGGTAGAGTAGGCCCAATTTCGTTACGGGAAAAACTAATAAGGCAATTTTTTATTTGTTTCAGATCAGTGATGCGGTGGAAGTGTGGGTACTCGGGGACCATAATGATTTGCAGGACGGTACTTCTCATCGTAATGCTTACAATAAGTAAGTGAAATAACATTATCACCTTATCACCTTAGACATTCCTTAAACAAAATATAGATGCCTACCTACTATCTATTTCAGAAAGATCTCTTTTAAATATATCTTCTAGCCCTCCCCCTTCCCCTTGTGACCACCCGTAGTATATGCCGAAAATACCTCCCCCTCTTTTGCACAAAGAAAGTAAAAAAAAACTAATATGTATATATAAGTCAAATGACTTAAATTTTTCTTGAGTAGCGTTGAAATGTGACCACAACGGACTTTCAACTCAATTTGGAATGCTAGCCTGCGGAAGGGTCCTGACCCCACGTTTATACCAAGAAACAAGTCATACATATACAAGTTTTACACAAAACTTATAGAATACTTGCAGTGACATTCTTTCGTTTACATAGCATAGACAACGACTATCTTTACAATGAGTTATTTTTATTGTTAATTAAAAAATTCCTACAATTACGTAATTACGGATTTCAACCCTTCAGTTACGGACTTTTCAGAAGCGTTAAATCTTTGCGTAATTACGTAACTGCATAGTTACGTAATTACGGAATGGAAGCCCTATCTACAACATATAGACAGTCAATTCACTCTAGCATTCTTAAATTATTACGTTTCCCCCATGTTATCACACTAATATTATAAAGGCGAAAGTTTGTAAGTGTGTATGTTTGTTACTTCTTCACGTCTAAACGGCTGGAGCGAATTTAATTAAATTTGGTATTTAGTTAGCTGACACCCTGGATTAACACATAGGCTACGTTCTACCGCGGGAAATATCCCTATTAAACCGCGGGGCACAGCTAGTAATAAATGAACTTAATTGCAAGTTCAATGAGAACGCCAAAATTATTAAGTGCTGTACTATAAAACATACCTAGTTAAACTTTATGGCTAAAAATATACCTCATAGTAAAGATCGTATATTTTCATCATTCACGTGGAATCACCATTAAATCATGGCGAAATTTATAATGCGAGCTCGAAAATAATCCATTATCAGATTGCCCAACTGTTGATTCGAAGGAAACTTGCAAAACGACGCTATGACGGAACTTCAGCCGTGGCCATAGGACCTGTGATCATATCCATTAAGTGTCGAAGGTGCCGATTTCGTTGGTCAACCGTCTAGTATAAAGTGGAGATGAAGATTGTACACTTGAATCATAGATCACAGAGTAATGCTATTATTCTGTGATCTTGATCTGAGGTTGATTTATTTAATCGCTAAAATCACTTCAAATAGTAGTCTTAGAAGACATGACGCTAAGCCACAATAAAAAATGTGATTACTTAATAATTACTCAATTCTGTTATGGAATTCATTACTTAAATTATTATAATTATTCAGTAATTACATTGTTTTACTGTGGCTTAGCGTCATATCTTCTAAGACTTCAGATTGAGGAGGGTTGTCCCTCATTAAAAAATCCTATAAGATTATTTAACTTGCATTTCTGATGATGAAATCTATAGACGCTAAAGAATTCCTTCAACAAATATTTCACCATTGTCCTTTCGGTCCTGAAACACTGTCTTTGGCGTATCATATAAAATAATCCTTTTTCTACTTCTTATTATATCACTATCGAGTGCGCACCGCGGATTAAAGTCGGCCGTGTGCGTCTGCGTTGCCTCCTCTTATCACATTTGTTCTATTTTTTTGCGGACTCTCGCAAGTCCTGTCTGGGTTCTCGGTGTCTGGTAGTTCGTGTGACTTTTTTGCCTGCTGTATTTTTAATCCGTTGTGTGCGTTCAAGGGCGGATCCAGAGGGGGGGTCATGGGGGTCATGACATTTTTTTGAATATGCTATTGCGTCAAAAGAAGGATCAGTTACATTTAAACATGTGATAAGACGCAGGTTTGCAAATAGCGATTTACAAAACCACTAGTTTTTCGAGGCAACTGTTCATAAGAGATGAGATGAAGTATGGAGATATTACTTTATTAGTTACTTCGATATTTTCGAAGTGACACTTCTTTAGGCATTCTTGACTTGGGGGGTATGGATCTTTGTTCACTATACGCAGTATCTCTGTCCAAACAAAAAAGGGACGAATTTTTTCCCAATGATTGGAGAGACCTCTAATGAAATCGGAATCAAAAACAAGCAACGCTTGTCTATATTTAGGAACGCGCCTCTATGGTTTGCGTTCCATCGACAATTGTGTAACCCTTAACCCTACGTTGTCTTAAGTAATTAAGTCAGTGGAATGCATGATTGCTGTGATTCGGAAACCTTGTTACGTCTGGGTGGGCGAAGATTTCGAAACTGGAATGAAATGTAGGTAATCAGAATTTGTGTTCTGAACATTGGCCTAGCCAGTAAGTTTATTTTGGTTGATAGAGAGCAACTTAACTCAGTGTAGGAAGACAATTGCCCATACCTAGACCTTAGCAACACTCCCTGACGTTTGAGGACTAGGCAGTGTTGCCAGATCTCCCGATTTTGCACGAGATTTTCTGTTTTTCTGTTTTTTCTTGTAGCTCTTTCCATACATCTACAGATTTTTTATATAACGCCTCCCGATTTTTAAAAATCGGACCTGGCAACACTGGCAAGACCAAACTGGCCTTTAAAAAGCTTGGAGTTCTTAATCGGCCCAAGCTGTATTTCACGTCTAAGCAAAGGTTTCGACTTTAAAAAGCGCAATTAGGGCCCATATTGGCTGGAGCTCTCAAATACCAGCTGGAACTTGAGTCTCAGAGACGCCCTCTAGTTGAGCTGACTCCCTCAGGTTCGAGTGGTCTAGAGGCTCCAGACGGAGAGGAGACTCCCCCAGTGGGGAGATGCCATCCGCCTGGAATACCTCTAGAGGCACTCGCGAATTCTCGGCTTGAGGTCCCCTTTGGATCTCACCGTCCCCAAACCCGGTGGCCAAAGGTCATCGGAGACCAACAGCATACACACTCAAAAAAAAGCTGGATCTTCTCGATACAAGACGCGCGATTCAGATTAAAGATGATCCCAAGCCAAGATAAATCTGGAACGTTTAGAACTTCGCAGGGTTTTTGGTTGCTTAAGTATATTCTACATGCTCTTTCATGGTGTCTGCTCCAAGGAATTGTTCTACTTAATTCCCACAGTACCATTTTATCAATAAAAAAACCAGTGAAATTCTATATCCCCATTATTATGATATGAAGGCAATTCATTTGACCAACATTCGAACGACCGTCGTATTTTGAAATTCGTTAGTATCGTTGTGTCCTATGGCTGCAACATCCGATCCTCTGTAAGGAGCATTTTCGCCTACTTCTTAGTTTCCCAGACCGTAGCTCCAATTCCAAGGTAAAACTTGTTATGCTCTGTCTCTTTTGACACCTTAACTTAAAAGTAACAAAACAATCAAAAAGTAGCAGGACAACTAGTTGATTCGATAAACATTAAAAATAAATTAAGTAAGATTTTTATTGACGGTACTGCTGAGGTCCGCGCCCTCAATGACAAAGCCACGCCAAAAAAAGTTATATCTCACTTCACATTGCGTTGAGCCTCCGTCCCTGACCTCTGCCACAGAGTAAATTCCTCTCCACCAACTGTCAACACTGATCGCCTCGAACGTGATTCAAATCGACCTTAAGCTATTAACAGACATTCCGATTTGGTTGGTGCCAACCAAATTGGAACCGATGTACCAACCATTCCAACATTGCTATAGACGTTCCGACGGTCGGCCTTCCAACCGTCAGTTTACTTTGCTATGAAGTAGTGAACGGACGTCTTGCCACCTGATGCCGTCGATCGTCGATGCATAAACATCATGCCACCGGTATTATCTAAAAATGCTAAAATAGCGTTGGTTGCAGCAACCATTGCTGCTACATCACCGCTACAAAAGGAACAAAGGAAAAAACGAAGCGAATGGGCTAAATTCTATTATAGGAATAGAGAATATTACAGCCATATGCGGCTCCTTAAGGAATTGGATGATGAAGATTTCCGAACATATCTTCGAATGACTCCAGAATCATTCGTTGAAATATTAAATTTTGTGAAAAAATATATAACGAAAACCGATACAGTTATGAGGCGAGCTGTAACTGCCGAAGAAAGATTAGTGGCAACTTTAAAATATCTCGCGTCAGGAAGAGAATATAAAGATCTTAAATTAAGCACATGTATATCACCACAACTACTGTCTGAGATAATACCAGAGACCTGCGAAGCTATCATTAGAGTACTCAACGATTACCTAAAGGTATGTATTCAATAAAACAACTTTAATTATTTAAAAAAATTATATTTTTTTTTCTATAGTAACAAACATGACGATGGTGATTCTGTTAGCAAGTATAAAAAATTTAATGTATTATTTGTTGGGTGTATCCTTACTTTCGAAATCATAAAAATGAAAATGAAAAAATACCTACGAATATCAATTCGAAAAATTACTTTTTAAAAATCAAATATTTGTTTAATTCCTTCGCCTTTCCTCTGAATACTTGTTGTTGATTGCTGCTTAATTCAAAAGAAGTGTTTGGGTAGTCATTAATCAATGAAGTGGAATCTAATGGGATTGGTGGCAAATCATAGATTAGTTGTGAAGATGAGTCATCCGATGTAAGCTGAGGGGACACTATGTGTTGGTACGAGTGTGATGATGGTGGAAGCTGAGGTAATGTTGATGGTGATGGCTGACTGTGTTGAAGTGACGGTTGAGATTGTGCTGTATGTGAGTACTTAGGTGATGGTGATGGCTGACGATGCTGTGGTGATGGTGTTGGTGATGGTGCATATGGTGACGGCTGGTAATGCTGTGGTGATGGTGATGGTGACGATTGATATGGTGATGGCTGACGATGCTGTGGTGATGGTGATGGTGACGATTGATATGGTGATGGCTGACGATGCTGTGGTGATGGTGTTGGTGATGGTGCATATGGTGACGGCTGGTGATGCTGTGGTGATGGTGATGGTGTTGGTGATGGTACATATGGTGATGGCTGGTGATGCTGTGATGATGGTGATGGTGTTGGTGATGGTACATATGGTGAT